CTTCTGGTTCCAAGAAAGATTTCTTAAGAATGTGAACTATTAACAGCACAGGAAGAAGCAAACCTATCAATTTTCTAATAACTTTTTATTACTTTTTGGCAAATTATCAGCTGGGATGTGACAGAACTGGATAGTCTCAATAGGTATAATAGGTACTTATATAATCTTGTGTCTTCCTGAGGCAGGGAGGATCATTTTGGGCAGAGAAAGACTGGCATTTTTAGGTTTGACTCAAGACAGAGATAGAGGTTAGTTCAATTTGGTGCATATTTGTAAAGCATATTTTAATTATTAGTATCAACTTTAGAGGTGCATCATTGTTTTATAAGGAAATTTTGCATGAGTGTCACATCTGGAGAAGATCTAGAGAATTTTTTTTTAAGTTACATTCTTGTGCTTGAAAGTATGCACTTAATGCCCTTCTACTTCATGGAATGTTTTGAAAGGGCAAAACTTCCAAACATAGCAGGAACATGTTTCACATAATTGGGAATGATGGCCTTGAAATGACTTTCTTCATGTGTTTTGTATTTCATAAGAACATACCAAAGTTCTATCAAGTCCAGCATTCTGTTCATACAGTGACAGATCAGATGCCCACAGGAAATTCACAAGCAGCGCATGAGTGCAACAGCATGTTCCTGCCCAAGCGCTCCAGCTAACCATACTCTGCTAACTTGAAGCATTCATACTGGTTGCCATCACTACATATTTGTGGAACTTTATTCAATAGTTTTTCTAGATGGTGTTTGAAGAAATACATTTCCCTCTTTTATCTGCCCACTAGGTACTTCATGGAATGATCCAGTTGTGTGAGAGAGGGAGACAAATGTCTTGTTATCCACTTTCTGCATATCATATATAATTTTGTACATCTCTGTCATGCCTTACCTTACTTGCCTTTTTTTTGTAAGCTAAGCAATGCCAGCTCCTCATAGAGGAGTTGTTCCAACCCCTTGATCATTTTAATTGCCCTTTGCTATACCCTTTTCAGTGCAGCAACATCCTTTTTAGGGGCAGTATCTACAACTGTGCACAGTATTCTGAGTGTAGTTGCTTGATTTGTGTAATGGTAGCATGACCTAAAGGCAGTTTTATTTTCAATCCTTTTCCAAATTATTTCCAGCACAGAATTTTACTTTTTTCATAGCTGCTGAACATTGGGTTGACATTTTAATGGAACTGATCGCCACAACCCAAAAATTGCTTTCCTGGTCAGACACTGCTAGGTCAGATCCCTCAGCTTGAATTTGAGCTTGGGGTTCTGAAGAGGGGCCTCAATGTGTATCATTTTGCACTTGCTTACATTGACCCACTTTAATACCCATTCTCCCAGTACAGAGAGATAATTTGGAGCTCCTCACAATCATTTTTTGTTTGACTACCCTAAATAATTCTGTGTCTTTGACAAAACCAACCAGTTCACTGCTTGTTCCTAATTCCAGATTTTTATAAATAAGTTGGTGTTGGCTGATTGTTCCTTGAAAATAAATCTCGGTAGCCATTTTTGTATTTGTGAAGCAATTTCAACTGCATTTCATTTCATCATATGGATAGAAATCAGTTAAATTAATACCCCAATACCAAATGCATTGGCCATGATCCAAAGAATTACTTTAGGCATGACCAAGGGCTTGCAGGCATTCAGTGAAACTT